GATATTTTCAATCCTTATCATGCGTCATTACCACCCACGGAATCACATAATTTGTCTCAAATCCTCCAGGGTATCATCCGACCGCTTATGGGCATCTATGATAGCAGTTTCTCGCCTTTCAACTTTAATTATGAAACACCAACGCACATGCAGCATTCGATCGCTGTGAAGTTCGTGTAAGAGAATGCTGACTGAATCAATATATAGCAAAGAACTCTAGTACCAATGGATGGCTTTGAATTTCACCAATAGGATCGAGGAACTGGCAAAAATTGTAGGTGGCGTTATCATATTTCAACGTTTCGTGTTGTGGCAAGTCCAATGTTAATTTTCAGTACTGTTTGACTGGCAATAAAGGCTTAACTGCACAACATCGCTCAGGATAATCCCAGTTTACCCACACAAATTTGACTATTATATATATTACTCCTTCCGGTACGTTTTCTGTTCATATATTGTTCTTTGACTCAATTATGCCTGTAATGTCTTCTCCCTGTTTAATATAAAGTTGCACACTATCTTTGGGGGCTTTGATAACCTCAGTAATTGTCATATTTGCCCATTAAGTCTGCACTATCCTTGTCACTCAAACTACAAAGCTAACTCTTGTAGACAGAGTGATCACCAGTCACCGAACCCCATAGTTTCCACCATGGGAACACTGTTTGCTCTCAATGCTGCCTGAAATGTACTCAAACTGTACCTCTGAATCTTCTTCTCAACCTGATCACATTGGATTTCTAGTTTAAGATTTCTCGTCCCCAAAATATTTCCCTCTAAAAAAGTCTGTTCAAATGGCCTATTCATGGCTGTCATCTTCTTCATCATGATTTAAGTGCGTGCCTCATTTTACCCACACTGCTAATTGCCTGTTTGTTTATTTTTAGCCAGTTGAAAGTTTGCATGTGTCCAACAGGACGATTAAATTACCTTGATTGGAGTCATTGTTGAGAAAATGGAACATGTACACAGATAGTATGGTGCTTCAGCGGTCAAAAACATATTCAGGTTTAATAAAGTAGACATGACGCTTTTAGGTGCAATTTCATCCAATCGAATTTGGGAAGCTGGCAACAACAAGAATCTTTTATAAGACGTAAGGCTTTTTCCCGGGGAAAAGTAAATTCGGTTGGAGCAGGATGTCGAACTAGACGCTCGTGATGCAGGATTTGTTTGCTCGGAGCTACATCTCTAATTGAGGCAGTCACATCGATCTCACACTCCCACTAAACGTTTGGAAGCCAATCACATACACCGAACTGGGTCACATTTAAATCTACTGCCTTTTTCAAACCTTTCTGTTCGTTAACCTTCTTATCTTTTACTCTAAAGTTGGCTGAGTATGCTATGCTTAAACCACTACGGTAGTATGAGATCCGTCCAATATGCGGACCTTGTATGCTTCACTTTATTGTTCTCCGATTATTTGCCCTTGTATATTTCGACAGGATTTCAAAGTTTTATGTGGTGGTTTAACAATTATTAGTCTTGTTTCTTCAGTTTCCATGATTATTTTAATTGTGAGACTTCGTCATCCTCACACATTTTATTGTTTTAAATTTGCAGGTAGAACTAATGCAGACCCTTACTGCACGGTAAACTGAATTAGCTTGTTGCAGATCTGATTCCTTCACAGGACATGAATTTCTACCACGCAACATCTTATATAAACGTTTACCGAAATTCACCTGTCCCCTGTCATGCCCATGTGCCCACTACCGTAGTACAAGTAATATGTGAACCCCGCACTAATCTTAAACCGCGCGTTATTTCCATGATCTTTGTGAACTGATTTTTTAGTGCAGTGTGTTCGGTGTGGCAAGTTACAATACAATACAGCGTAACAAAATACATACTCAAATAGTCATGTGATAAAAAATGCGACACAATGAGCTTAATTTTCTGTTCGCCTGTCGATTAACGATAAAACAGCACTGTTCAATTTTCCTAGACAAAAATTCATAACTTTTCTAAAAGTAATGACTGAATAAGTACGCACAGGAAATGTCAACAGGTGTTGAGACAAACGATCGATTTTATAAAAGATTCATTAGATACCTTATGATTTACTTTATTGAATAACTTTCGTACCAATGTTAACCAACGCAAATCCGAAGTAAATATCAACCAGAAGTAGAAGTGTTTGTTTGAATAGCGATTAGCGTGTGGTATCTAAGTTTGCACCGCATTAGTAATTAAATGCTAACGCACACTAGTCCCTCAAGTACCAATGGCTTTCAGACTTGGTCTGTTTCTGCAGTCCGCTAAATTTTAACGGAAGCAGTCTCCGTGTAACAGTGTGATTGTACGTTATGACCCGTTCGCAATTGAACAAATTCCATGGATTTGCAGGGTAAGTCCCAGAATGGATGAGGGTGAATGGCGTGATTACTCTTCCGTTGCACCTAGCGAAAAAGGCACCCATAAGAATGCCCTGCTCACTATCTTTACCTGGTAGAGACGGTAAAAACCGTTTTTACCAAAGCAAGGCGACAAAATGCCAACATCACTGTATGTAGCTTGGTCTGGGAACCACTGGAAGTTCACCCAGGGGGATTGGCTAAAATCGAATTCCAAACCAACAGAGAAGAGGTGCACGAACCACATCCACACTGTCCTGGCTGCGGCAGTGGTCACGCCCTTGACTGGAGAGCGAGGTTCATTGAGCACTTTGGACTTTCGACCCCGTTCTGGCGAAGTATGTTCCAATGAATTGGCCCTCGGGCCCCAATGTACCGTGGTTTTCACACATTGCTTTGTGGTTCAGGTTTTAGCTGGTCGAAGGCCCCAAGGGTGCATCTCCCTAGAAAACACCTGTTTTGTATCGTGATTTGTTTGACTTAGTCTGCATTCAGACCCATGGAATATTACAGTTGTAATACCGCAGTTACCTTACAATCCCTCGGTAAATTCAAATACATCAAGGAAATGTGACCCAAAAAACAGGAAACATTGGTTCATCATAATTTTCTCCTTTCGAAACCTGTGCAGCTGTTTAACTGAATGAATTTTCCTATTTTCGTATACCGTACACACCACAGGTTATGGCATGAGCAATAATACACCAAAAGTCTTGACGATCTTGTCGTCCTGTGTTCCCACCCCGCCCCAAAAAAAAACACTTCTTTCCTGAATTATGTATGAAGGAACCCAGAATTACTTGAATGAATTACAAACGCGAATGGAATGAGCAGAAGAAATTATGCGATTAAATGATTCAGCAGAACCGTACGCTAACATATCCAGTTGTAGGATACAATTCCAAATATCAAAAGATACAATTACCTGCGATGAGCTAACTAAGGTATTAAAACGACAACCCTGAAATACGTTTGTGATTGATTTTTATTTGTCAAACGTTTCATTCTCTGTCCAATAGTACACAATCGCTTTCTATCACCTTATTAATCACATACCTTGTAAATTGCATCATTCAACGATCCGGAGTCGACAATCATTTCATCCGTCAATCCGGTGACAAGTTTGCACTCCTCTGTCAGTTCCACGAACGTAACAGTTGGTAGATTGTTGCACGTGCGTTCCGTTGTCGTGGTAGTGGTATTTGTCATTGGGGGTTCAATTAGCTCATCTGTATGTGAATCACAAGGTTCGATATCCGTGGAACTCGTGTTTCCTTGTTCGCTATAAGACTGAGACCTCCGGATATCCCCCGTGAATTTCGATGGTCTGATTAGGGTCTGGAATTCCGGACTGTCCTCCTCGATTAGGAAAATACAAATATCTTTGAGTTAAATAAAGAACCAATATCATAAGTAAGACAGTTCAAACCATGAAAACCTAATCCATTGTGTTCTTTTATTGTTTGATGGAAAGAAACGGATATCTAAATTATCATGGCAAGCATGAGGTAATGTTTATCGAACCTGTTTTTCTCTGCTTCTTTACGCATCATTCATGTACTGTATAATAAATTGTTTTATCACATTAGTTGCGGAAAGACATTATACGTATACATTAAGGCAAATAATGACACACTGAAGCAAAGCGTTAGCGATTGTATTGACGGTATTAGTCAGGTGAAAATACCAATGATCCGTTTTCTGTTCTGTAAATATCAAATGTGAGGGCACGGGATTGGGTATGTACTGAGCGAAAGACTGATGAAGATGATTCCAGACAAGTGCACGGACGAGGAATTCACCAGGAAGTCCTCCATGGTCGATTAATCCTGAGCTTGGCCTTAATCTGTAACTGACTAAAACCTTGATCCTGAGAGTAAAATTCTGCTAAATAACAACGTTGGTAGATTTAAGTAAAGCAGGAATGTGGCAGGTAGGGAGAAATGGGGAAGTTTCACCTCTGAACATGCGCGACACCCGAGGGTTGGTTGTGGATCGAATACTGAGAGGAGTTATTGGACGGAGAAAAAAATTCATACCATATCAATCGATAGAAAAGATAACCCGAGAGAATAAAGAGAATGTAGTCTCCAGTAGATGAACTGAATGTGCAAAAAGGACTTGAGTTATATGCTCTAATTAACTTGTGAATAGCGGGCTGCTCTGGAAATGTTCAATCTAATCTACCTTGGTAAAGAGATTAGAAGTGAGAAGACTACGCGGTGGAGAGAACGAACCTTTTTGATCTTTGTGGTATGAGTAGACAGAGCAAACTGATTACCTTAGCTAGATCGAAACTGTTTTGTTATGCGTAATCTTGGATAGGTGTATAGCAAAATCTTCCGTTCATACCCCTCATACTGGTTGTCCACCAACAAAGATAATAATGTTTAGGCGAATAGACGCACTTTCCTCTAATTCAACCGAAAACTTTCTATTTAGAGCATCAACTTCTTTCCGTTCGGAATCTGTTCTTGGTTTTAGTAATGTTTTATGCTCATGGAGTCCAAGTTAACTGCGCATAATCCATGAGACGAGATTTGAAAGTGAATCACAGAGGCCCTGTGAAGGTGTTTTACATCTTATGAGGTACAAGCTCATCTGGGTTAACATTACCCACTAAAAGCAGTCTGTAAACCTAAACACAAGGAATTTTGAAGCCTGTATAAACTGCCTAATAACAAGAACGTAAGCGATTGGATGAAGTTTCACAGAAGTACGTAACTGATTCCACAGTTCTTTCCGCCTCTTGAATTAATTAATCCGATACTCCAGTGGCATTGCTACACCTGAATTTCACCAGAGAAGGTTATTTCGAGATCATCTAACCTCGAAAGACCATTTGGACAATTCCATGGCAATATTTCTTGGTTTGTCAACCTCTTTTTAAATTGTGATAGGTAAAGTTTACTTGCAAGTAGAGGTGGACCTTGAGAGATGTCCGAGGTAGTCTAAAGGCAACATATAACACAGACAATAGTCATCACCGTTTAAACATAAATATATTGCTGAAAATTTTTAATAAAAATTAGGCTTCTTACAAGGTATTTTAAGCACTTTTCTGGTTTTGCTGAAGTGATATTATGGTTATCAATCTGGTTCCTAATGTATAACAAATTTATCGCCGTTAAAATTCCTAATCATATATGGTCATTGATTGCTGCAGCTGAGTGAGAGCTTCATTTCACCGATCGATCACCAGAACCAGTGGGCACTGTTGATGCACCCAAACAGTGAAATGTGAAATACACCTTAAATAACGCTTTAGAAGCTAATAAACGACTCATAAAATGCTCTCATCACCTCGAGTGGCATACTGTATGTCACTTTGGTATTTATGCATATTAAAGTGCTCTTCAGCATTCATGTAATTCGTTTCTATTGGCAAAGGATTACAGAGTACCAAATACGACACATTCTTCAAAATTTGAATGCAAATATATTAACCTGAAGACTGATTTACTCCCAGTGAATTATTAGCAGTCAACTTTCGTAATACTTGAAATTCTACTAACTATCACGTTTGAACCAGAAATCTCCTTTTTTCATTCGACTCTATGTAAGCGCCGTATAAGCGTCGTACACGGAACTGTTTAAACACTACGTTGAAAGCAGAGACAAAATAAGTAAAATAAATTGAATTAATTATCTTCTGAGAATCTGTACTTCTTCCAAGGTGGTCGAATTGCGCTGGGAGTACTTCGGAGCGGAACGGCTGTGTCCCCATGAAACAGTGAATGATGTGATACTTGGTTTTACTGGATATGACAATTGGTTTTGAGAGGGTGCATATTGAACTCAACAAAATATTTCCAAAAGGCATTTTTACTTGACGCTGGAAGTCATACGTTAGAAATTATGTTTGAATTTGTACGTTGAATTCAGATAGAATGGTCGGAAATTTTCGCGAAACCGAAGCATCGTAATACGTGATGTGGGACAGTGGTTATTTGCATTTGATCTAACTAATACGAATTCAGTAAACTTTGCGTTGATGCGAGCAGCCTGATCGGAACGGCTGGGCAAGCAGATCCTTGACTGGATCAATAAGATTGGAGTGAGTGATATGCTGATTTCAGAAGGAAATTTTTATTCCTTGGACTTCTGGTAACACAAACTGTTCAGTTTTCAGAGCAAAATTCCGCTTTTTATTTACTATTTTCGCATTCAAATTACTAAATTTGGATTAAAACAGTGACATTTGTAATCACGACATCTCTCATAAGATCATGTTTTCATACACAACCATTGTCGCCTACCTTTAATTATTATCTACCAGCTGGGACCGAAAGTTGTATGAACAATTATGAATTTAATACAAGAAAGCGAATAATCATTTGAGTAAAACTGACAGAAACCTCAAAACGAGTACCACTTTCACGTACCGAACGATAATGTCGTGGGAAAAACAGGTTGCTAAACTCACATTCTCATTACGAATGTTCACTATTTTGGCCGTGAGCATTACGATCGGGTACTCGTCACTGCCCAGATATGTCCCTTGTTTTCCAGCCGTTACTAAGTGAAAGATAACCAGATAATGCGGCATTTCTGGATTTGCTTCAGCCTTCAGTTGTTTATCCATTTTTGTATGCTTTTATGCAAATCACGTTCACGTTCTTTTCGGTAGTTTAATTATCAACCAATCTATCGGTTTCTTCTCAAATCGAAAGCACAAGAAGGATCAATTTCCGTGTGTAACCAGGTAATACAAGATCGTGTTTACAAGGGAAGTATCACAGTAACTTTGATTTACTCTTTGATAAACGTGTCTTGTCCTGAATTTCATAGAGCGTGGCGGACATCGAATGATTCCATACGGTTAGTAGTGTTCCGAGCCTGTCAAACGGATTGCGGTAAACTTCAGTGGGTGAAGAATGCGTGTCAAGTAACACCCATACATCTGCACACACACACACACACGCAAACAATCAGATGGGAATTGTAGGTGCATTTAACGATGGGACTAGTAGCGCACTCCTCGGGTATTTTGTTTGGTCCATTCGGCACATATCCACTTACAAGCACCTCCCACTTCCAACCCATTCCCCCCCACACACACACTTCATTCCCCCTCACCACACACACACATCTCGGTTCGCTCACTCCCTGGGACTCCACTTGTTAATCCGGTGCCCATAGCAGACGGGGAACGGAAGTGTGCATTTAGGCTCTGTCACAGTCCTAATATTAACTGTGTAGGGTTCTCATGTGCCTGACCAAATATCTCCCAACCCAAACTAATCCACATGCTTGTGTTCTCGCGTACGGTTGATAGACCGGTCGCTTTCTGTGAGTTGCTGCTAGGGCACCATGTTTGATTTCCTTGTGCACCTATTGGTGGCTACCAATGGGTGAGGTATTTCTACGGAAATAAGAGCCTCTCGGCGACAGAACCCTTCAGTTGCTTGTGTGTTAGTATCATATTTGTCCACAGCACACGCGCGATAGTTCGT